GATCATTGTAGTTTTAGCAGGGGCTCAGTTCAAGTCCTTATATCCAGCCAAGACCACACACTTTTACTTTACTTAACAAAGACATGTGGATCTGGAGCCATATCCTGTCTCCCTTATTTCTGAGGGGCATGATTGACAGGTGAATTAACCAATCAAAGCATGTTTTTTACATGTCAAAACAAACATGATGACTTACAAGTAAAAAAGAAAAACAAAATAAGAATAATGTAGAGGACAGAGGACAATGAGCAAATACACAATTTCTTATTTATCTCAGATAAAATAATTTATGCATTTTGTTTTGAATGAGACCATTTGAGAATCTTCCGTATCTGAGAGACACGTCTACAAATTACAGGCCATCCCATGTAGGATGGTTTGATGCGCTCTGTGGTCTGGTTCTTTATGGTTCTTGTTCTTGATGTTTCTTGTCATTCAGTTGCCCTTACTCTCCTCATCTCTCCAGCATGTGCACTTATACTTCCTTGCTTGTTTGAACATTTTCTTTGGATTGTCCATGCTCACACACCATTATCTGCACATGATCCTGTGTTCTTCCCCAAGTGAGAGGAATCTTGAGAGATGAGTGTGCCTGGTGATAAATGGGAGGAATGGAAGGAGATGTGGCCTCTGCAGGCGGTAAATGGAGCTAAATTGGGTGATTGAGAACTTAAGAGAAGGCCAAACATCAAGCCCATTTGTGGCACAGCGGGGGGCCGACCCTTAGCGTGGCTTCATTTGTCTGGTCCAGAGCCATGCGCCGCCCTCGGAGACTTGTAAAGCAGAGGTGCACTGTACGCTCTGACCCAAATGACTTAATTATGGGCTACAGTCTGCTGCTTGTGCCCTGGTGCATGCGCGATTATGGACGCTCCCGTGTTGACGTGCTACACTTACTGCCATGGGCTTATACTGAAGTGATGCTTTGAATTGTGTTGGAACATTCAACTGGATATTTTTCTTTTTGTTTTTGTGAATATTTGCTAAATAGTTTTTTCTTGAGAAAATAATAATTACTTGTGTGCATTCATTTTTCACCAGATTCTTAAAGGTGCACTTGTAACTTTCGGACAGAGTGTAGGTGTTAGACTTAGACTTTATTGATCCATATGGGAAATTGTTTCCATGTAGTTGTTATTTCTTTTCCTAGAATGATCAACAATGTTTAACCTGTAGCATAAGGACAGGCACTGTTATATGAAATTAAATAGGTCAAAGTACACAATGTCACCCACGATGGGAGACGCACGTTTTACATAACAGCTCTTAGCTTCAAATGTTAAAGCATAGCAGTTTACTATTTGCTGCCCCTAAATCATGAGACTCAAGCTTTCAAAAGAGCAAAATCAGGAAATCCAGAGAAAACATTGCTCCAGCATGGCTTACATTGCTGTGTTATTGTATTCAAAACTGCTTGGTGGATATTTTCCTCTTGTTTGGCATAAAAATAGACTGGTCCTAGTTAGAAAGGAATCCACTGGAAGAATCCATCTGGATTTATTTGTTTATAAGCCTCCAGGAGCCAAGAAAATGCATGGAAATGGCACAGAGACAATAGTGTGGCCTCAGCCAATCAGAGACTAGTGTAGTCATGTGATCCAATTAAAATCCTTGTGTTTACTCTTTATTTTTGTAGCTCTTCTTTCATACCTGTATGTTGTGTTCGTATTGACTGTTTGGTTTGTTTTATCTTCTCACAGAATAAGTATATAGCTGAACAATGGGCTCGCTCCCAGACTGCACGCCTCACAAATTGTGGCTCCAAACGTTAATTATATATGATTATCCAGCTTTGTCTTCTCTCGAGATTCTAATTAAGTGAAAAGGGATAGCATGCAATTAGAAGGATATCATTTCAGAAAGTTAAAAAAGAGTTAATGGATACTATTGACTTAAATAGGACATGTACCTACTACTTACACCTGAGGCTTACCTTGACTCCTTTGCCTTTTAAAAGTTTGCTAACTTTACTCTAGAGATACACTGAACTATAACTGTACTGACAAAAATCATAAATAATTTATTTTTTGTACAGTCAATAGCCTACATTTGCAAGATGTGGTTTGGTCAAAAGATTTTCATTTGCCCATGAACCTTGAGGTTGATGGTACAATATTCCAGTGTATCTTCTGCATCGTGAGATTTTACATTATGTTAGTCTAGTATAATATTCAAGTTTATAAAAAAAAATTCATGGTTTTCTAGAAAATAGATAGCAGAAATAGCAGTTTGTTTATTTGGCTATTGATACATTGCAGTGACGTCACACTGGGGGTGTTCTACATGTGTGTGTGGCAGAATGTTCAGCAGTTTCCATGATTAACTATTAACAGATTAGCAAACACTCAAAAATAGTTTTAAGATAGTTCAAAAAGTCACAAAAAATACTTTTCAGGAGCCTGTGATCAATATGAGTGTTCATGGTCCTGTTTAGGTGTTTAGGTGTTTGATTTTCAACAAAAAGGTGAGTGACTAACTGAAAAACTGTTGGCTAATGCTAGCTAGCTTGTGACTGTAAATGTATGTGAGAGAGACTTGTTTAACAGTTTAAATCAGATCACCCAAATCCAAAAAATGTTTTCACCCAAATGCGACCTGTATCTGATCTTTAAATGAGATAAGATTTTTTCAAATGCGACCCAGGCCACTTGGATATGTGCTCCTAAAACCGATACATATCTGATATTTTGACATGTGACTTCAGTCTAAACGGCCAGGTTGGATGAGTGTGACCAAGCCATTCAGACTGTTGTGCTGTAATAAGCACTTGTTGCGAGCCAATACAGCCCAACGCCGATGCATTTGCTCACTGTAATAGACCGCCGAAGACGTGTTTCCCCCTGCGAGAGTGGTACAAGTAGGCGCTCACAAATGTACACAAACGCTCTTCTCGTCAAACAAAAATTGTGTCTGAACTCCGTGTCAGTGAAGCAGTGAAGCACATATCAATCCCACCACTCTTGGCTGCGACTCCGCACCCAAACGCCATGGCCAAAAACCTTGCCCTTCTTCTCAGTCTCTTCCTTAAAACAAATAAGCGGAACATGTTCTGGCTCCGGTACAACAATAACTTTAAAATGGCCAGGTGCTCAATGCTCGCATCCATGTTTAGACTACTTCCATCAACACTGAGCACACTCACTGCGTGTGACGTCATCATGTCCTCCAATGCGCATGTGGGACACTTTTGGGGCATTTAAAGTTCACACTGGAGATCACATACAAGCAGTGTTGGGAAGGTTACTTTTAAAATGTAATCCCCTACAGATTACAGATTACACACCCCGAAATGTAGTTTGTAACGTAATCCATTAAATCACTTAAAGTGAGTAACGTAATCTGATTACTTTGGATTACTTGATATTGTCATGTTTTTTAAACGACATGAATGTAGCAACCACATCCTGAAAATTCTTGTGTGTTGTCTTCAAATTGTCTGAGCCCAAGTCTCCATGAATAAGCAACTGTTTGCTGTAGAGAAACAAAGGCCACGACATCTTAATATAAGAGGTTTTGTCTGTTAAAAAACAGTAACAAGATCAGCCTTTCCTTCACCATATTAAAAAATATTATTGATAGAGAAAAATTTTTTTTATATGAGATCACCTTAAATTATGTCAACCTACTGTTAGGTGTCATGTTGTTTAGACCTGGTTTAGTCCTGGTTTAGTCCTGATTTTAGACCTGGTTTAGACCAGGTCTAGACCAGGTCATTAGTTCTGGTTTAGTCGTGGTTTAGTCTAGTTTAAACCTGGTTCAGTCCTGCTTTAGTCCTGGTTTAGTCCTGGGTTAGTCCGGGTTTTAGTCCTGGTGTTAGTTCTGGTTTAGAGGCGCACAGGAGGAAGCGCGGTTTACGTGAGAAAACACGTTCCACACGCGGCGCACGAGACGGCGGTGTCCGCGCTGTAACTACGGAAGGAGACGTGGTCCGCGGGTTCTCAGGTTGATGACGATGATGAAGGTGTGTGTGTGTGTGTTGTGTGTGTGTTTGTGTGTGTGTCCACTCATGTGGCAGGTCACTATAGGACAGTAGTGCAGATATTATGAGTCTATGCAGGTTGTTTTCACTAGTGCCAGTAGCTCCTGTTTCACATTTAAGTTGTAGGTGATATATATATATATATATATATATATATATATATATATATATATATATATATATATATATATCTCACATCGGGAGAAGAATTTCCAAGACACAAATGCGTTTTTACCAATGCACTGCTGCTTCCACTGTGTGACTGACACCGCCAACTTTAACATGACGTTTACATCGCTCTTATTGCGAGCGTTCTGTGTGGGTTTCCGGCAATGAGTGAAATTACCGAAATAAAAAAATAAATAAATGGGATGTAGCACAAAATGTGAAAACAGGAAAATACCGCCTTGTAATCCACTTATTTCAGCAAAGTAACTGTAATCCAATTACCACTCATTGAAACAGTAACTGTAACGGAATACAGTTACTCATAATTTGTACTCTGATTATGTAACGGCGGTACATGTAATCCGTTACTCCCCAACACTGCATACAAGTCACATTTAATTGGAAATGTGGACGACCTCGCAAAAAAATCGGATTTCACAAAAAAACCTGAATTGAGCATTAAGCCCTGCAGTTTTAAAGTAGCTTAAGTCAACTCTTTCTGCTCAGATTAAAGTCCAACAAAGCTTCACACGGAGCAGAGCCTACACCCCAGGGACTGTTGATGACATCAGCTGCAAAGCATCAGTAAAAGTCTTTCTGAGGACAGAGCCAATGACACCTACAGATCCAACAGGGTCTGAAGAGTAGAATGAGACAGAAAACACAATTGAAGCTGACGATTATATACACTGTGAACAAGATCTTTCAGCTCTGCGTTATAATATCATTGCGAGACTGAACCAGTGCCTTGTCTGAGGTCTATGCTCTATATTCACTGCTCTCATTAAAGACCTTTTTGTCCGTATCTAAGCCACCAACTTACTAATTTACTGTTTGTTTTTTGTTCTTTCAGGATATGGGTCCCAACAGCATGCCCTCCGTTCCTCTGATGGTGGGCTGTGGTGTCTCATGCACCGCTCTGCTCATTCTGCTGCTCATCTATGCGGCCTTTTGGAGGTGAGGACAAACATTCTTACACACATGTTGGTTTTCTTGCTTTTGCGCACATTACATTGACTTACATACATGCGCACATTAATTTACTGGAGACAGATCCTAACCTTAAAAGGGACATGTCCTGCTAAATAGACATAATAAACATGCTATGTTTATTATCAAAAACATGTACGTTCTATTTTGATTGATTCATGCATCTTTGTATTTTTATATTTATGTATTTTTCTTTTTTTTTTTTTTTTTTTTTTAATCTATCTATCTAATTTTTATTAGTTACCATGGTGACACAATGCACACACTAGCAAACACAGACAAAAAAGTTTTAAGATTTAAACAGCATATTTTCAGGAGCTTGTGATCAATAGCTAGTTTGTGATTGTGAAGTTATTTGAGAGTGGCTTGTTTAAGCACATGAATCATCTCATCTGCTTTAGTTCTAAACCAGCTCTTTCTGGTCAGACTGCATTAAATAAAGCTGAGATTAAGTCTAATTTGAGAAACAGAGCGTCAAACAAGCAGATAGCTTCACACCTCCAGAGATTGTTGGTGACATCAGCTGCGAAGTACCAATATACATACATGGTTTAAAATGTCATGTAGCCATTTTTAACAATAAATAACAGTAAATAAAAATCTATTGCTGACCATGCTTGAAAAAGTCACTATGAAGAATCAGTTTTGCAGTTTTGTACAGAAAGTCAATGGACTACTTTATTGGCCATTTTAGAGCAATAGATCTATATTGGTCAATATCGATAATGGAGTTTACAATGAACAACATGACTACTAGCTATTTACATGTTATAGTTTATTCACTCTTCTATAACTTAAACCGTAACCATAACCTCTTTCATATCTCGATGTAGTTTACATCATAGGAACCTGATGTTTGTTTGATTCTTTTTGTCACTTTATTTTTATTCAAGGTTTTGGACAAAAGTAGAACAAAAACATGCACAGTTGGCAAGGAATGATACACAGTTGTAGACGTTACAATTTACACCATTTAACCCATCTTGCAAACATTAAACATCAACATGTCAAACGTAAAAAAAAATTTCTTTCTAGCATATGTGGGTTGCGTTGAAGCTATTTACTTCTAATTGCCTTTTTTCACAGGCTCAGAGAATTCTGAAAAAGTATCTGACATTATTTGCTGAATCAGGTGTATCTCCCCTCTCTTCACATTTTAAGTAACAGTAACACCGATTATTTGCCCAATTGTTGATCCAATATCTGTCCAAAATGTATTTAGGGACCTGATTTTTATCCTCATAAGAAAGCCAGGTCCACATGATATGAGTGTGTATACAGATATTTGTCCCCACAATGTGACAAATAATTGCCCACTCAAGCTAATGACGCTGCCAAATCTGTGTTGTGTAGGAAAATCCCGTGTTGTTTAATTGCAACAAATGGTCCAAAATGCAGCAGGGGAGTGGCAATTAATTTTTTGGTAACACACTGAGCAGATGGGATGGCCAAATCAAGCTAATGACCATGCAATTTCCAAAATAGTCCCCCCATCTCTTTTGGGCGATTCGATTTTGTCATACTTCTACTGGAACTAACTGTGTGTTTCTCTTCTCTAAGGTATATTCGCTCGGAAAGGTCCATCATCTTGGTGAACTTTTGCCTCTCCATCCTGGCCTCAAACTTATTGATTTTGGTGGGACAATCGCAGACTCTGAGTAAGGTAAGGAACAGTCACCTAGGAGTGTCAAGGCTGCTGAAATGAATCTGGTCTGACAACATTAAAAAGAAGGAAAAAAAGAAAACGAAAAGAAAAAAATGTGATAGACTGATAAGGCCGTTTTTGACACCATAAAGTGAACAAAAATAAAATGATTTATTTTATTTATGGATATTGACACATTTTAATGTATTGCTTCTTTTTTTTTAAGGTGGATTAAATAGCTTTACTGGCTGAGAGTTCACTAGCTGCTTGTTTCCATGGAGATGTTATTGCTTTGCAGGGAATGCTCCAGTATGGCATTAATATCTAGCATTTATTTTGTTTTTGCTGCTAAAAGTACTACATGCAATCTTATTACAAATGGCGTTATCACTGCAGTTACGCCAAAATTTAACTTGAGCTGGTGGCATCAGTTGATATATCCTGTCTGTTTAATGTCATACTATGGAGCTTTTTATGTGTAGCAGTAACACCTCAACAACAAGAAGTTCCTGGACCCTACACCAGACAAGTTACACAGTGCACCTTTAACTTGCTCATGAATATAACTTATACATATGGTGCAAATGCTCTAGTGTGTGGAAGTCTATTTGAATATATTTCCTGTTTTGGTGTATCATGGTTAAATTCCAGTGTTGCTCTTTCCTGCAGGGTCTCTGTACTGTGACTGCTGCCTTCCTACACTTCTTCTTCTTGGCGTCCTTCTGCTGGGTGCTGACGGAGGCGTGGCAGTCCTACCTGGCTGTCATCGGCAAAATGAGGTCACGCCTCATACGCAAGAGGTTCCTCTGTCTAGGATGGGGTAAGCACTCAATATTTAACAAACTCACTCCTGTTAAAACCAAGACTTTAAACCTAAATCTTGATAAACGTCTTCACATTGCCATTTCTGTCACTTGCCACTTGCTGACAGTGTGTCAATGTAAACCAGTGAGTGTTGGAGGATTTCTTGCATAACAAATGATGCTTTGTGAATTGAATCCTGATTGAGGCATCCTTGTGTGACAGGAATTGACAATGAAGCTAGCGTACTTTACATGTAAATGCAAAACATCATTATGTTGTGATGTCGAAGTGGTTAGCCGCATAATGTCTAATAACCAATTTTGCTGAGCGCTCATTTGCAGCTCACATCGCTCTTTTATGCACAATTGTTTCCTTTTCATGGCTCACATTGTCTGTTTATGGGAGTATGTAATGTGTTCCTACCTAAGACCTGGTACTTTGTAATAAAGACAGTAATTAGAACTTAATTTGATACTTTCCAAAACACATTTAGAAATGTTATGCTCATTTCATGTATTTGTAGGAAACCATATAATTATCCTATTGTATTGTGGAATTGAAAAGACTGGCATATGATTGGCTGATAAACTGATAGATGCCAAAGAAAGTTGCAAGTGGAAGAAACATAAGTAACTCAAACTTTTAAAGTTATCTTCAGCCACCTATTATTGAAAAAGATGATTGGATAAATGAAAAATCAGTTGTTCCTATTTTAAAGGGCCCATATTACACTATTTTCTGATCCATGTTATAATGTTTCTTATTCATAAAAACATACAGGTTCTGTGTTTTGTTTCATACACACAAATTTAACACACAAGTCCCTCATATTAAGGCTGAGTTCTTCTCTCAAACAGAAAACAGCTCACCTTCACTTGAATCATTTGGATAATTTTAGCTAATCTTTAATGAACAAAAGGTAAAAGGTAGCCGTTAACTTGAAAACTACCACTTGATGACATCACAAGATGGAACAGAGCATTTTGATCTCAAAAAGATTATGCAAACATGTGAACAAAATAAAACACAAATCCGTGGTATATTTTTAATGAGGTAGCAACATTATGACATGGTTTAAAACTTACAAGAATACATTTGATGTAACATAGAACCTTTAATAACAAACAGAGCAACGTGACCACAACACGAGTGAATTTTACCTTAAAATGAAACACGATTTTCAAAAGGTTATACAATAAATACGCATAAAAAGGAGCACAGTTTGGTCGAAGAGGGGCAGACTGCCATGTCATTTGGCCCTATCACTGTCCCATTCATCCTTGAGAACATTGCGCTCTCTGCTCCGTCTGCTATGACCTGATGCAACAAGCGCCTGGGATGTTCCAGCATAATCAAAATACGAGATAACATCTGCCCAACACTGTAAGCATGCACCCAGATAGACCAAGATAGTGCCAACTGCATTCCCCCAACACACAAACCTCTATTCATTTCACTGAATATTGATCCCGGCAGTCTAATCTGACAAGACTCCGATGCCCTTAGCTGATACACAAGGGGGAATGTATGGATTGTTGTACAGTTGCAGATGGGATGATAGGGACCACTTGTGTGTTTGCGTGTGTGTGTTTGTGTGTGTGTGTGCATGTAGCCTTCTCAATCAGACACAAATTCACAATCAAGGTGGATGGGATCTCAGAGCTAATCCATGCCCAAATTCTCACTTTGAATTGCGTGTTAAGTCTGTCGCCTGGAAACAAATGATTTTGGGTGTGACTGGTGTAGTAATTAGAAAGATGGTTAAAAAGACGAGCGGTTTTACATTGCTTACAAATTATGCAGATTGGCAAATATACTTTAGATAGACTTTTCGTTAACCCTATGAATTACTCAAATTGAAAGTGTAAAGATTATAGACATTTTGTGTGGTCTTGAATGAATACATCATTCAAAATCCTTCAAAATAATATGACAGCTGTAAAACAATATCATTTACAAAAGTACAATATTTACACACATTTTTTTATCTTGTTGGCAGTAATAGTAATTATAGTATTTAGAACAACAGTGTGGACAACTTATATACAGTAATACATGGAAGCGACTGTTATGTGTCTTCCTCTGTCTTTTCAAAATGCATTAACAACCCCCTATGTTGACATCCTATCAAACGTGCGGGGTTAATTTTCCTCCAACAACAAAATAAAATGGAAAATGGCTACTCTCACTGACATCTTATCTTCACGCATGGTATATTTCATTTGTCATATGAACGGTGAGCTGTAAGTCTCTGCTTCCTTCATGATAGCCACATAAACAAAACATATAAGTAATTGTATGTTGCAGCCCACTGGTTGTGTTGAACCAGCACGGCTTCTCCTTCCTTATTGTTAATATGACTCTTTCTGATTCCTTTCCATTTACAGACATAATCACCGCTTTGTTAATTACATGAATTTTTCAGAGCCAGTTCATTACGCGCAGCATTTTCCATTTTTTCTTTTTTTTTTCTTTACGCCACCATCTGAATGACACCCCTTCACTCTAATACCCTTTACTCTACACTCAAATACCCACATGCTGCCTGTTGGAGCTAATTGTCCGACTTTTTGACCATTTTAACATATAGATATAATTACACACCCTCCAGTTTGTTCAGTGTTAGTGCCTTTATCCTCTCACACACCCACGCTCTGTATATGAAGGTCAGTGGCTTGCCTGTACGCTTACATAAATCTACGCCGCATATGGAGAGACAGGAAGTCAGGTGGGAATGCTGGCTACCCCTTTGTGAGACGAGAGGAGCTTCATAGCACACAGCCACTTTCAATCACCTATGGACAGGTTACGCGCTATTGCATGGCTGATTAGCATTTGAATAAGATAAACCATGAGGACTCCATAACACTGGAGAGTATTCTGGCAGACATGCTTCATTGTGCACATTATTTTGGATTCTAATATTTTCATCCTTCTTCTTTGTCTCTGCAGGTCTCCCAGCGCTAGTTGTAGCAGTTTCGGTGGGTTTCACCAGAGCCAGAGGTTATGGAACTGCCAGCTAGTGAGTGACTCCGATCTCCTTAAATAATTGTTTTCCTCTCTCATGCTGCTTTCTCGTCTCCATGGTAACTTATGGTCAAACTATAATGGAAGTCATAATAAGACTGATGCTTTCAAGAAATAAGTGGAGCAAACTGTAAAATCAAATACAGTAGAAGACAAGGACATGATGGCGAAGAACAGCAACTCTAGTGTACATTGTCAGGACCTGTATTATATCATATATCATATTATATTTATTTTATGGTTATTATGCCAATTTTCAAGTGGTGTCCAAAGGGGTTTTATTACTATTAAAGAGAGAGGGAGATAGAGTTAATGCCATACTGTGGAACATCCCTTGGAGACAACCAGTTGGTGGACCCTTTAAAAATAGTGTATTTATTTAATAATCATTTTTCAAATAATAATTTGTCCTTATTTATATCAACCAAAACATCTTTTCTTGCTTTTATTTTATGTAATTACTGTTTTACTGTATTAATCAAAATGTTTCAAAGGACAAAGTGTTCTTTTATGCATGCAGCTATTTCCTAGCTATTTACATTTCTTTATTTAGTTTGAGGGCTAATTTATCTGATACCTTAGCAACAAATAATATAATTAAAATGATTTGGCCTCTCATAAGAGTTAAAAGAAAATCAAAAGCAATTTATGAGGTTATGAGCTTTTATCCCCTCTTGTTTCAATCTTGTGTTTCTCATTAGTAGGCATTAGCCATGTATTTCATTTGGTTTATTTATTCAGTAAGCACAGTACGGCTCTCGGCTTTTGGGCTAATGTGTTTTTCATGTTTTATTTAGCTGCAATTAAGTAAAGAGAATGGCTTCATGTACTGCAATGACACCACTACAGGACACTGTTCAACTTATTGCTGTGATCAGCAGCAAATGAAATGTCTACATATTGCTTGTGTTTCAGGACATTTCTAGATGGGGCAGATAATATGTTTGTAAAATGAAATGATTCACTTGCTTAAAGACACAATAAAGATTGCAGTTGTAATATTCCGGCATATCATAATTTCAAAGAGACTGAGTTAGCAGATTTGCGTCAATCATGCTAGTTCATTAGCGCAGCTATGTTTTCATTATTTTGCCCACTAGACACAATTAAATATGTTTTTTGTCATTCATGTCAAGTTAAATAGTGTTCAAAAGATTACCTGCTATAATCACCAAACAAATTAAACTTGACACTAAAGATAGTCGCCTCAGTGTTTGTTCATGTTTATTAGCAATTAAATCTAGTGGGCTCAAATGTATTTTAAAATATTCATGTCATGAGATTATAAGAAACTGATATTAGATGCAATGCGTCGCCACAGTAAGAAGTGCAGATCAAATTTTAACACATATTTATTCCTCACTTAATTTGAGGAAACCAATGGACACTATGGATGAGGAACTGCTTTTGAAATAAACTTAATAAACATATATTGAACTTCATGTTGTTGGTTTTTTTTATAATGTCACCACCTAACCTAAAAAAAAATAAACAAATAATCTGACTATAAATACATGTATTTTGGCATATTGTACCATACCATTATGATCATTGTAGGACCCACTTTGTACTACCCACCTACTATCCTCTGCTAAAATGTATTGTAGTGTATGACATGAGCTCATGGAACATGTTTGTCCCTATCAAATAAACCTAAATATATGTGTGCTAAAGTGTTAAACAGTACATGGTTGTAGGCTCGGCATTGCACTGACTGCTGTTTGTGTTTGTCTGTGCCTCTAGTTGCTGGTTGTCACTAGAAGGAGGTCTACTGTACGCCTTTGTTGGACCTGCTGCTGTTATTGTCCTGGTGAGTCAGTGTTGCTGATTAATTACATTCTGTAGAAATGCTTTAAAATCACCATGGTAACTCTTATCGCTGATGTGCACTTTCCTCAATCTCAAAACCCTGGTATGACACAACAAAGATGAGTGGTGCACTTTAGGGTCTTAAAATGTCAGCTGTAAAGAAACTGAAATAAATTCTGCGCGACAAGAGCGCCTTGGCATCAGACTGCATTACCAGACATGATGTTCTACTCTGCCCTACAGTCAAATCTATCACTATTATTCCAGGACTTTTGACTCAGAGTCACTGGACCTAAAAAACAGGGATAAATGAGTTTTTTCATCATTATATGTTGCTCTACTGAAGTCATAAGGACTTAAAATGGCAGGCTAAATTGTAATGTGAATTGTTTTCACAGAGCTATTCAGTTATTTGAAGTATTAAATAGTGGGGTAGTAAGGGCTCAGCGAATCTGAAAGTTGACAGTTTGATCCCTGTTCTGCCAAAGAACATGTCCTTTGGCAAGACACTTCACCCGTCTTGCCTATATTTGAATTTTCTATGGGTGTGATTGGTGATGATGGGGCAGATGGGCTGTTCCGTACGGGTCAGTCTACCTCAGTTCAGCTGTAGCTACAGTATATAAGTATCTTACCGCCACAGAGTATGGGGAGTGAATGAATAAAGTATGACATTTTAAAGTGGCTATAAGAGCCATATTGAAGACTACAGCATTACTAATATTGGTTATAAGTTACACTATGGCAATATCAAGTAATATGCATAACAATAAATGTATCTCATATGTATGTATTTCTCTATTCAAAATATACCCAATAAAATTGTCATTGTTTGGACGAAACTCTCAAATCGATACCCAACCCAGTGTAGACTAGGAGACAGTAGATTTATTGAAAGACAGAGCAGAAAAGTTCTTTTATGCTTTAAGTACCAGCACTCTTACATTGTTTTAAAGCTTAACACAGGGCATTGATTGCATCTCAATAGCAGAGTAATCTTTTGTTGTGGCATGCCTGTTGCTGCCGCTTCTTCTAGTATTAGCTAATTCCTCCTAAATGAATCCCTGGTGGATTTTTCTGCACAAGGCTTAATAAGTGTGGATTGTGTACTAAACTGTAAACTGCTCTCACTAATCTCTGCGAAAACCCACAGAGCAACACATCCAAGCTCCAAATGAGTCCTTTAAGTCTAGATCGGAACAATACTGACAGAAGCCCTCATGCACATGCCACTTATGGATTAGTAATGCAATACAGATAAAATGTTCTTGTTAATTGCCAAGTAAATAAAAGTTAAGCTAAACTATTAGACCAGAGGGATGTCTGATCCAAGTCGGAGATATACTTTCACTACAGTGTACACTGGTGCCCAAAGAGTTTTATCTGGGAAACGTAACTCATATATTGTCTTTATTGCCTTTAGTCGGGTTTGTTTACAATTTAAAATGTATCTTTATTAACTTGTGGGTGACATTTGAGAGACCATCTAGAGTCTGAAAGCTCTAATCTAATCCAATCATGCCCTTTTTTGTTTTATTTATTTATTTATTTTTTTTTTTGGTGGAATTAATGCATTGATTTTGTCTAGTAGTAGTAGACTATTCACTATTTTCCTCAGTTATATAATCTCAGTCACTCCTGAATTAGACAACTCTCACTGGTTGCCATCACAAGGGTGACTTTATATGCCTCGGAGCAGAGGTATAGGGCAAAATATGTTTTCAAATCCAAATGGGATTAAGCTGTATTTCTATGATGAATGTTTACCCCATCTGCCCGTGGTTAGCCCCTGCCCCCTTCTGTGTTGTTGTTGGGGTTCCCACTTGAACCAGCCCCTGTAAGGAGAGCAGGACGCAAAACACAGTCCTTCCCTGGAGCCTTTTTTAATTAATGACCCTGCCCTGGAGCAAATAGCCATGCAAGATATGGCTGCTGAGTCATAAGACATGACTAGCATCACAAGACTGCATGTTATTGTCCCTTCTAGCAACACTAATGCCTGATGTAAACATAGCAGAGAACACAAGTCAAGGGCACATCTACCACTTAAAGGCCCTATATCCTGCAAAATTGACTCTTGTGAGCTTTAAGACATGTTAGAATGTTGTTACATCCTCAGAAACATACCTGGAGTTGTGTTTAGTTTCATTCACACTAGGGCTGTCGCAGTTAGGGAATTTCTCCTGCGGTGCGGTATAGCGGCTAAACAGCGTGGCATGCGGTGATACCACACCTCCGAGTCAGTCCCGAGAGGGAGTCCTGGTTCAGGTCTGGATTAGTCCTGGTTCAGTCCTCAGGGGTCAGTCCTGAAATCAGTCCTAGGTTAGTCCTGGGTTAGTCCTGGTTTAGTCTTGTTTCAGTCCGTGGCATGTACGGCATCTCAATCAATGTTTCTTCTGCTCAGTAAATAATGTCTGTGGAGTGATGACAGTTGAGTCACATCTGTGAATTCGTATTCGTACTGAAGAATGCGTAATCGTTTCATTTCATTTCATGATTGTAATTCTTGAAGTTGTAACTTTTCAATTTGTAGGTCTTTTCTGACGGATGCTTCAGTTAGAATGCTTTTTATCACGGGTACGGGCGGGCAACGGGTGGAATGTTAACAGGTCCAGGCGGGTGCGGGTCTCCAACAATGAACCTGTACAGGAATCTGGGTTGGGTCATGTTGGTCACGTGCGGTGATCGCGGTGGCCCATCCTGCACTGTGGTGGGCCTCTTAGTACCACGGTGATCCATTTTTGCGGTTATCGCGACAGCCCTAATTCACACGTATTTGAATAACCAATTATTTTTACTTTGTCTATATCTCTAAGCTCAAAATGTTCTGTTCCACCTTGTACTGTCATGAAGCATTAGTTTTCTATTTAACAGCTGCCTTTTATGATTTGTTTATTTGACATTGGCAATTCCAGGGTTGAAATCATCCAAATGAGTCAAGTGAAGGTGTATGGAGTTTAAAAACACAGTGGGGCACTTCCTGTATTATCAGTTGACGTCACAAGGTGGTTTGTGTGTAAATCAAACAAAACACAACTCCAGGTATGTTTGTGATGAGGAAGCATTATTATAACAGATCAGAAAATAGTGTAACATGGGCACTTTAAAACATGGGTGCTTTAACTTAGGCATTCACAAGTCGAATTCCAATTGCACGAAAATGTTCAAATCTGAAATATTCAAATCTAAAACACATTTCAGCAAAACAATGAGTCCCCACTGACGAATAAGGTTTAGTATCCAGCCAGACATCCACTCAGGGGCATTGATAACGCGATGGAAGACATGCAAATGCAGCTCAGAGGTCATTAGCTGGTAATGAAAGAGTAACCCAGGCAAGGTTAGGAGAGGACACGGCCAGCTTGAGGAAATTGGAAGTTGGGAGATTATGAGGAACATGTCTACTGTGCAGGAAAACACACAGATGGGCAGGATTTGACGGTAAAATAAGTCCAGGGCAGAGATGTGCGCATGTGTTCTAATAGAAATGTGTATCACTGGGTCATGACCACATGTTTGACAGGCTTAGCTACAAGGACCTCATTAGGAAAGTAGACGGGAAGCAATCACAGTGGTTTCCTTATCTAAAGGTTGTACAAGGTAGGACATTGGGAACAAAAACAATGTCCCAGTTTGTCCAATTTTAAGTAATCCTTTTTCATACTTCTAAAATTAGATCATTTGAACAACAATGTTATATATCTGATATTTTCTCAGCAGCAGAAAACTCAATTTATTTCCATGGTAGCTCAGGTTTTTCAAAAAGAGCAGGTAAAATTGTTTAAAAATTTGCCTTTTATTTAACTTGTTTGGCCATTGTTTGTCTTGACAGGAGTGGTTTAGTACATAAAGAGAAATATGACTGAATTGTGTAATAGCATTTGAGGCAAATCAAAGACGGCTTACTTTCTACAAACAATCGATCTTTTGTTTTGTCATCTCAAACAATATAAATACACTACAAATCACACAAACTCTCCCCAAATAATGACATTTAAAAGGCGTTTCCGGGTGCACCATCTGATCCCCAGCTGTTTTCTACATTTCTGATTAAACTTGTTGTCTTTCCTCAGGTGAATATGCTAATCGGGATTGTAGTGTTTAACAAGCTTATGTCCCGGGACGGCATTTCTGACAAGTCCAAAAAGCAGCGAGCGGGGTAAGCCTCCTTCCCTCCACCTCATGCATGTCAAACTCTGTGCCACAGATGACAACAGATCTGCCATATTAAATACATGTTACAATCTGTCATGCACACAGATGCCTGAAAACATTTCAGTTTAACTACCTTCAGGGCATCTCTGATCATTTTCCAAAAATCCTAAAAAAGGCAATTTAATTTGGCAGTAACATTGCAAAGCATCTGTCATGTTCTGTTACTTTGTGTCATTTTACTGCCACTTACGCATGTTGATGTCCAATATAATTTCCTCTGTTTGAAAATCAATGACAGATGGAAGCTAATTACAAACTGTAAACAGGGGATTATGTGGATGAAATCCTATGCTCCACTAGAATCCTATAAGATAAAGATGCCTTTGTTCTTGTTAGAGTCAATCTTGCACACACAATGTCAGTAATGTATGCCTTAGCATCCCATAGCTACATTAGTCTAAGTACAGCAGATGGGAGCTGATATCATCTTTACTAATCCAGTGAGCATGAGAGCTGCAGTTCTACCAGAAAAAAAGGAAAAATCCATGTTTTCATTTCCATACCTATTGATTCCATTATCGCTCTTTCTCCTGCTCTATCTTTTATTCAGTTATTTTCTTCATTACATTTCCAACACTGTTTGTCACTGGCATAAATTGAAATTGATAATTTGTATGTAGCAGCAAGGGGTTAATAGGGCATATCTCCAGGGAATGGTTATTTTGTTATACAATAAGCTTCTCTTAGTGTGATGATGGTGACTTTAAATTTGCGGTTTATATGTTAAGAGGTACAGCCAGCCAGAGGGAAGCTCCCATCAAGGAGGCTGTAGAATTTAATATAATTTATTATACCACAGCTAAGGTATTTTAGTAATAGAACTAGTAAAATAAGATTAATATTTATTGTTGTATTATGTCATGGGACAGTATACATTATGTTAATGTTTCCATGAACCATAATGATCAATCATGGAAATGACTTGAGTAAAGTTGCACTGTTTATAAGATGCAATTATTACTATAGGTCTGAAAGGTATATCCATATGTTCATATAGATATACTGCAGGCTTCTGCAGCCATGACAACAGGATTCCCTCAGATGCTGTTGGCTGACATGGCCTCCCATGCAAATGAACACATATTGCACATCTCCCATTTTAACTGCCCTGTGTAATCCTGGTGTTAATCACATTTGCACTAAGAACCTCAGCCCACAAACACACACTCCCACACACCTAAATGGTCATACCCAGTTGTGGTAGTGTTGCTAACACTACCGTCTGTCATTAGCGAAATGCTTTTCCTTATGAAGCCGTGGCACTAAGGCAATGAGCTGTGATGGGATGTTAATGTAGCATAGCAAGCGCACTGCCCCATCCTTCTCTGCTTATAATACATACAAACATGACAATAGACTGTGGCACACTGTTCATTTTCATCTGAGCAGCCAAATGTAAGTAAACAGCAAATGGGAAGAGCTGTTGTGCATATGGCCTCTTACAGGTTTACCTGGGCATACTCAAATGGCCCACAGCTGTACATGGCGCTTGCAGACATTTTCAAACCCCATTGATTCACAATATAACCAAGGATACAAATTGTACTTCAGTGACTAGAACATTTTATTTTATAGATTTTGGCACCTCTTTATTTTTGTAAATATTGAACAGTATTTATTTTGCACTTTGCATAGAGCCCTGCATAGTGGGTTTTGTTTTCTGTAGGTCCACATAACTCTTGCGTAGCATGCCAGTCGCTCACTTCCCCCCTATTAAATCAATCTGTAATTTCTGACTGTGTTCATTGCTGCTACTTTTCAAAATCTGATTTTAATTTTCTTTTTTTCTTTCTGTTCTCCCCTGCCTTTTTTTCTTTTCCCTGTTGTCTCCATCTTGTTCCATCATGTTCTTCACCTCTGTCTCACCTGCACCTCTGTACTTCTGTACCTCTGTACCTGTCCTTATATAACCTCACCCCTGGCCGGCCCCTCCTCACATGTGTACATGTCCAAAGTGTCCCGGCAGAGGCGGGGAGTCGGCTGCTCCTGAAATGCTCCAAGTGTGGTGTGATCTCTAGCACGGCCATGTCCAGCGCCACAGCCAGCAGCGCCATGTTAGTCCATTTTCATCTCTCTGCCACTCTGAGCCACTTGAGGCAACCAATAGTCAATAGTGCATGGATCTGAGCTCATAGTGAAACAGCAGTAACAAGAGCTTATCTCAGAATATTAGCCCATTTGTAATGACTCAAAGCAAAAGAAAAGTATATTTAAAGCATTTTTGACTTGTTGCACTCTGAGTAAAGTAGATTAGTGGACTTACCAAACATATCCACCATCTCCAAAAATAGCTTTTCAACCAAGTATTCTGACAATCGCACCAAATGATTTACTGCTGTATTATAACCCTGTAAAATAATACCTGGTATCGTACTCAGTATTGGCAAGTACTCAAAAGGTATATCGGTATGGGACAAAGTGGTATTGGTGCATTTTTTTGTTCCAAAGCATGTTTTAAAGGTGCACTCTGTAACATTAGTAGGGAGGGTCTGCCACCTGTGTGTTACAGCAGGTTACAGCACTATGCTACTACAGATCTGTGGAGAGTCGCCTCTATTCACAGGAAGGAATTATTATATTTTTGAGCAATAGAAACACCTGTAATGAAAAAATGTAATGCCATATCATGGAACATTCCAGGCAAAGCAATAACATTTCTATGGAGACAAGCAGGTATAGCAGACTCTCCACCAGAGTTGCACAGTGCACCTTTAGGTAGGCCTATATAATCCAACAATTGACTTTTTTCAAATAGGTAAATAAATTCAGTAAGCAAAAACACTTTTCTGTAATTGTTCAGCTTAGAACTTCAGTTCAGTATGATCCATATGTGCTGTTAAAGGTGCATTGTGTAACTTTTCTGGTGCAAGGTCCGAAAATTGCTTGTTTCCATGGAGATGTTATTGCTTTGTCTGGAATGTTTCACAATATGGTATTAAACCTTTCAATCTCCAAAGAGAACAAACCAGGCCAAGTTACTGCTCAAATCTGTGGAGTGACTTTGCTCACAGTCAGAATCCATGGTTTTCTAGATATGTTTGCGCTATAAAACCACCTGTAGTTAAATAAACGTAAGGTAAAGCTTTTTAATGACATACTGTGGAATATTTAGATCCTCAACAGAAAAGTTATGCAGTGCACCTTTAATGATCAACTCATTTTTCACAGTCTAATGAGCACCTTGCACAGATCAGTCTTAGCATGTTCAATTAAAACCAGACAGCTCAGCCCCCCTCCCACCTCTGTGCTTACTCGATTACCTTTCAACACAGCCTCACACAAGCACCACTGTGTGCCCAAACAGCATGAACATTTCAAACTGACTGTGGCACATAGACACACACACATATTTTCATCAAAGAAGACTGAGCATGCACCTGTCAGTCGCCTGTCAACTCCCCTCCCATTAACAGACCCGGCCCGGCGTCTCACAGCTCGCCACTGTGACACTTATTGTGCATCTACCATGTAATCGTAAGCAATTGTTCCACATGTAACTATCTACATGATTACACATCATTTTCCACTTCTCCGCCGAATATGAAGTCACAGACAGACTTCGGATTGCCAATCAGGCTCAGATTGCCCACACGCATCCCACAACTTCAATGTTTAAACAGAGTCAGCGATATTCTGGCATGGGATTTCACTTTCTCTGCCCTCTTTCTGTGTTCTGTCTCCGGCCTGTTTCCCAACCTGACAGGGCCTCTCTGTGGAGCTCCTGTGTGGTTCTCCCTCTCCTAGCATTAACCTGGATGTCAGCGGTCCTGGCCATAACCGACCGGAGATCTACACTTTTTCAGGTAACATCTTCAAAAGTTTTATTCGACAAGAATATGGTATTTTTTGGTATTCTTGAGCACAGTCTATGAGGTATTGTACTCAGAACATCAACTGACAAGCGGTGATGGTGTAGTAAGGCATGTCAGAAATGCTGCTATATGATTTCTCATAAACGCATGGATCACTCCAATTTGAAGCAATATCTTGACTTTTATTTGGGATTTTTAAAATCAGAATAGATTCGGTCACTTTGACTTAATAAGTTATATGCTCTGTGTAATAACAATAGCACATACACAAAATTGTAAATTTATTGTAAGATATGTAATTGGCAGAACTGTTTATTATTGTTTCTGCAGTTATAAAAGTTACATTTAAAGAAGACGTACTGACGTTGTGTCTGCTATATAGTTATAATCTATGACACGAGGGATTATAGTTAACATCAAGTTAAGATTTGGAGATTAGAAAACTGCAGTGCCAAATACTGGCACCGCCATAAACGTCCTCACAACAAAGACCAATTTATCTGTCAGCAACCCCTATGGATAGCTGCACATCACACTAGCAAGTAGCTCATTTGTACCAAAATGACTATGTGATGCTGCCAAATCCTATATGTATCACTTATTAAGAAAATAAAGTTAGTAAATGCAGAGCAGTGGGCGTATACCGGTAGAGTTGAAATGGCCATAATATAATTGCTGTTCAATTAGTTTGTATTTAGAATTACATTTCTTAACTGTGTTTTGGAATACATGTTGGGTAACTGAATTTATATTTTAGTTTTAGTAGATTTAGTCTGTCAGATTTTTCGTAATACATTGTGCTGCAAATGCACTGTTTATGAATCATTATTTTGGCATTTACTAAAAAAAGTAAATTAATTTGTTTTTTCCTCCAGATCCTGTTTGCAGTTTTTGACTCAGTGCAGGGTTTCGTCATCATCACTGTCCACTGTGCCATGCGCCGTGAGGTGAGTCTGCACTTGCTATGCCTATTTTTATTCACCCTCAAACAATGACCCCGGTGACTCCTCTCTCCTAGCAACAGGTTAGATAAATGTTAGCGTATGTCTTCTAAGTTTCCGGGTCACTTAAGAGCCATGGCGGAGCAGACTAGACAAGGATTAGCCTGAACTTCCTGTCTCGTGTCACTTCTCTCTTCTCTTTAAAGTGCTCTATGATCGTCTGGCATTGCCTGTGTGATCCAAGACAGCTTTGAGGAGCTTATGAAGATGGTGTATTGAAGGAGATAGGATATGTCCCATACTAATATACTCTGGTGTCTGTTTGCCACCCGCTTTGGTATAGCCTGCATAGAAAATACATTTAAACTCAATATTCACATTGCTTTGTACCCCACGGGACATACACACACTTATCTCCAGGCGCAGACAAACTCAAGCTTCACTACTTCTTATTAATGAATTTACAATGTTGTCAGTTTTATGTTAATGCGTTCAGCAGAGCAGATAAACACCCATTGCTTACATTAAAGATAATTACATATAATGGAATGCAAAGTTGACGTAAATTTTTAAAAGGCTTGGAATGCATTATATCAATATTACAAAAGCAGTGAGAATCCGCAGCGTTCACATGGTCATTAAAGACATTGAAAAGTTAATTCTGTATTCTAGGTTGTGAAAAAAAAGATATGAATTTTTCATTGTTTTAGTCTAAAGCAATGGCTTGAGGTGACAGGGACACAGGACATAGAGTGGTTGTTCTGTAATCACATGTTGGTAGATCAAATCCACTCTCTCCAAGTCATTCTGTTGTTGTGTGCCTTGGCAAGACACTTTATCCACCTTGCCTGTGTTTATGTGTTACCATATATGTTTGCTAAATGTTACAGAAACCCATGCAACATTATGCAGCTGTGTTCTCTTAAAGTGGCTGTACTTGTACATATTTGACTTGCTCTGTTATACATATACATATATTTTAAAGGGAATTCTTGAGATAAAAATGAGACTGCTGTGTCCTGTCTCCATCTAATTGTTAAGCGTTTTATTGTCTGAGAATCAGGAAGTGTGCTGCTTGCATGTATATAGCATAGTTGTTTTTTTTATCTTTACCGTGACAGCAATAATTGGGTAATAAGGTAAGTGAGGAGTAAGACTGGACCGTTGCTGCCCATTTAAAAAGTAGTTTTGTTTTTCATGTTTTTAAGATGGTAAAAATCAGGTGTTGTGCCGTTAACAAATAAAGACTTTCTTTTATATTTGCATACTAGGACTTAATAGTTAAATAGCACAATAATAACAACAACACAACACTTGAACTGTGGTGAAAGATTTTTTTTTTTAGATTGTTCCTGGAAAAGTGAAATAGAATCCTGGATTTGTTTATCATGACTGAGTATAAGTCTTTCCCAAAGTCTGAATTTAAATTTGTGTTGAATAATCCAGGTTTGCCGAACAGCGAGTGCCGCAGTGGTGGGAACACTCCGCAGAACCACAGGCAACGTAAAGTGTGATATTTTGTGAAGTAAACCGCAGACAGCAATGCAGAGCTGAGAGCGTTTGGGGCTCTGCTCACAGCCTCCTCTGCGCTGCGGAGCTGGGGATAAAGGAGCCCTGGTGGTATCTATTGCCTGCTGAGTTCAGTCACACAGAGGCAGCACAATATGTCGTCAGAGGAGCTGTGGTTTGGAGGTCACAGGGGAGGAACTTAAAGCACCTACACCTGAGTCAAGAGCAGGATCCAGGGAGGGGCTTGGTTTAGTAAGGGGCTGGAGTAATGCTCTGTGGTTATTGTAACTTGCATAATCTAAAAAAAAAAAATTGCATCTGGCAACTATTACACCGAGGCTTTTCAGTTCCTATACTGATATTGATACTATGTCTTTTAAGTATTTGCCAATCTGGAAGTAACTACTGAACAGCTTTGTACAAATTTTAGTTCAAACATGATGAGATGTCCTGGGCTTACATCAGTCAATAAAGAGTCCAAGTAGGATATTGGCGGAACTGATATCATAGAACTGATACCCAATGCTGAACATTTTCCTGCTCTGTACTTACATTGGTGCATCCCTATAACTATAAAAACAATGTAGCAACTCAAATGTGTGAATGAAACTTAACACAACTACAGTTATGTGTTTGAGGAGGTGACAACATTCTAAAATGACTTAAGCTCACAAGAGTACATTTTGTGTAATATAGGATAAGTCTGTGTTTCTTTGTAGTATCTGTTTTTCAGACCACAAAAAGACACTTCCACTTGTATGTGCTACACAATATTATTTTCATTATAAACCACTGTTGTATCTTTTTTCACTTAGTACACTTAGTTAGTTTATGTTAGTTACTGGCCTATTTTCTTCTTTCCAAAAAAATAATAATAATAGTTGACCACTGAGCCCAAATATAAAAGCCATGAATGTACTGAGTGATTTATAGTGGCAGGTTTGCGCTCTCAAACTGCTGCTTGCTGCGAGTATTTCTGTTATGGCAGACTGCGGTAGTTTCTTTAGTGAAAGTATACAGCACCACATCCTATGGTACGCCTGAGAGACCAAAGTACAAAGATACCTTAAAGCAACACCGCATAAATTTTTGGCAGTGGCACTTCACCACATGACTATGAAAACTGAAAATTCAAACTATAGATAAATGCGTTTTATGCTATACAGTGGAGCATTTTATCTAAAGCAATAAAATTTCCATGGTGACAAGGCGGTGGAGGCCCTTCTCCTATCTTTGGCTTAAATGGTTACGCAGTGGTGTATGAAAATACTCTGCTCCCTTTTGACGATAGATATTGTTGGGAAATATCTGAATATATGTACCGAAAATACATATTCTGAATATTAATTTTGAGTAACTGTGTTCCGGTACAGTTCCATTTTCATTTGCTGTTATTCAGAATGCAATCACTTTTCTAAAACCAAAGAATGCATGGTGGTACATCACACAATTTAGGCTTCAAAGTGCACAATATTAGTGAGAAGAATAGAAAACATCACTCTTATCATGTGCATGTGTGACTGTTCCTTCTCTAATTAGTGATAGGAAATGTATAACAAACTGAAATAAATAGAAACTGTTATTAATCCTATGTTACATCATTACACAATAATGTAAATGCAACTTGATGTAAAATAATTTTAAGTATTCAGAATGCAGTACTCTGATTGGCTCATGTGTCAAAATGCCCTACACAATAATGCAATAAGGCAGGTAGGTATTCAATTCAAAAATGAATTACAAATTTCAAAGTATTCTTGCCATCACTGACAATAGACCACATTAAAAGCTTCCTCCAACCAACCAACCTGTATTAATCTAGTAAAAGCGTGACTAAAGGAGATGCTTTAGTCAATCTAAGTGGCTGTTTTGCTTTGATGTCACACCAGGCTGCAATACATGTACAGCCAAGGAGCAACACAATTGAGAACACGCATAGCGACCAGAGAGGGGTCTAGTGTGCATGCAATATTAATCCGTCATGATGCCACTCCAGTCCACTCCATTTGTGAAGCGCAGCGTAGACACTTAGCGCTAGACCACCCAGCGCGTCCGCTGAGGCCCTAGCTAGTGCTCCTTATACCAGCACATGAGAATCTTATGGGATTTGACAGCGGCAGCGTTGAGAAATGTAGCCTGCTCCCCGGCATGTAACCAGAGCATCTATAATACAGGGACTGATGGAGGGGAGACGCTAGCAGTCAGCTGTGAAACATAATGCACACGGATCTGTTTGAATTGAGCTACAAGTAGAAGTAGTGCAATGTGTGCGTGTTTGTGTTGTGGGGATGAAAAAGAACAATATGACAGTAGAAGAGACCCAGGGGTTAAAGCGTCTCTGTAGTGCGCTGTTGGTTTTAATTAAGATTCGGAGCCACGGATCTCACAAGGCTCAAATAGGCCACTTTGAAGAGGTTTTTCACATCACTCTACTTGCTCTTATATAAGCTACAATCTGAGGCAAACAGTACAGAGCATGAGCGCAAGGCAGGTTTTTCTGAGGCTGTGAAAAATGAAAAGTTTAGCAATGTGCCAAAATACAGAGGATCACAAAAATCAGAACTACAAACAAGTGCTTGGAGAACTTGCAAGACACCGATTCAATCTTGCAATGGCAACCGCAGGGCTATGACCTGGTTTCAAACTTAAATTGTTTATAGTTTATAGTTGTTCTTTCCTTTTTCTGTTTGTTCATTTTTGTTATCAGATTGTGTACCTTGGGTCATTTTATTTATTAAAGCCTTCTTTCCTAGAGCTGAATTTTCACACCTATTTCAAACTTTTGCACAGTGCTATGAGATAGCAGGTTTCTTTACGGTTTTGATGTCCTTCGGTATTTTGAATTTCCTGAAAATGATGACAACAACAACAGATTCAGTTTCGCACCCACTGTTTTTCCTGACGCAAATGATGTCTTTCTTCGCAGGTGCAGGATGCTGTCCGCTGTCGGATGGGGGGATGTAAGGACGACAGTGAAAACTCTCCAGACTCCTGCAAGAACGGACAGGTGCAGATTATGGTGAATAGCATTTCATTCCATTCCATATTGCAGCTCGCCTCACAGCTGTCCACGACCATCAGGCCCAGTCATGTAAACAATGGCGGCTTTATCCAAATACCAGACATGTTTTTCTTTGTCCTATCATTAGTCCGCACGTGTGTGTGTGCATGTCTGGATTTCAGGATTACGTAAACTAACACTAAAGGTTCCAATGGAGGCTACCTGCTTCCATCAGAAAAGTTACAAACCTGTTTATTTCCTTTTAGATGTTATTACCTGGAATATTAAGCATATCTTTTTCATTTGTTAATTTTTACTGCTAAATAATACCTTGAAAATCATGCGCAGATTTGAATTTATAGTATCACCCGTTTGTCTTTGTGGTGTTATATATGTTAAACTACTGAACATTTTTAAAACTTCTCCAAGCGGAAAAGTTGCATCGTGGACATTTACACTTAATAACTGTCTGTCCTGCAGACTGGTTTATTCAATATTAATCAGGTAAAGAGATATCCATAATACATTCTGTGGTAGTCACGTGCAAATAAAACCACTTCAGTAATTACTGGCATAGTCTTGCCAGTCATAAGCAAATAATAAACAAATAAGAATGCCATTTCATAAAGATAAAATATTAAAAAAGGGCGTCTATGCATAATCTGATGTATTCTAATTGCATTCATACCTATTGCCAGCAGCTTCATTAACTTTAATCACCAACTTTTTCTGTGTTGACGAGCAGAAAGTTGGCTGGCGATAAGGTTATGCGTGTGTTCTCCAAGTGTTTAGTACTATTATAAATCACAGCAACTTAAGCAGCAGGGCCAATGTCAGTGCGGTCATAGGGCCGTGAGTACCAGGCAGGTGACTTCTCTAATACCTTTATTTCTCTCAAAGACTCTTGGCCTAACGATTATAGTCCTCCGAAGAGCCCTCAGCGGTTACCCTGATTAAACTTGGGGGGCATCATTCGGTTATCACATTAAAACCTACTTTTATGACTTGGGGAATAGACACATTGACATTCTTGACAGTTGCAGTAGCATTTGCAGATCTGTTGCACAACAAAGCTCATCCTCAGGGGAGCGTTCTTCTAGACGCGTTGGCTGATGGAGGTGCGAACAGTCGTACTTACACCTTAATTACAGCGAACATCAGTCTCTCTGGTGCTCCTGCCAGTGTCACCGCCAATCTCATTAGAATACTAAACCCCTGACATTTAGAGACATTACAATGAATGTTAGCCATAATAACTTGGCTAAAGGTGAGGAACTTTTCCAGTTCGGCAATCGTGAAAGTGGAGCTATCCCCTAAAACACTTCACACAAACTGGGCTTAGTGGTAAATTATATTAGTTTTAGTACAAGGATTTTCTGTACTTGTTTAATTTGGGATACCTGCTTAGTTCAAAGATGTCATTGTGCACTGCAAGACTGTATGCTTTCATAGAACAGGGTCATTTGCGCTGTCTCAGTGGGCCCAACATGAAGAAGCAACTATCTACTTTAAATTCTGTGAAATAATACAATAACGATAGCAGAGCATTTTAGAGTAAAAGTAGCATTTTGAAAATCAGTATTAACCGCACAGTGAGATTTGAATATTATGTCAGCCCTACTTCTTAATTTGGTTTAAAAAAAAAAAAAAAGGATTTTCATGTTATAAATTGTTTATCACCTGTCCAAGCCTATTATCTACCATATTACCATGTAAAATCCAGTATTATACTGCTTCTGTTTTTGTTTTTTGCTTGATTTCACCATCATTGTGCCAGTCTCTGTGTAAAACAAAGATAGTACCAACACCTGCTCTTTAAAGGTCCTACTGTATATTACTTAAATTTGACTATCATGAGATTTAAGCCATGATAAAAATGCTGTTAACACAGTAAAAACATACCTTGAGCTGTGTTTTGTTTCATTCTCACAGTTGAGTAAACCTGGTTTGTTAGCTTGTTTACATCTCCAAAGCTCAAAACGCTCAGTTTCACCTTGTGACATCATGTAAGGGCAGTTTTCAAGTTAACAGCTACGTTTTACCTTTAGTTCAGGAGAACTTGGGAATTTCAGATCTGAAATTATCCAAATGAATCTACTGAAGGTACAGTATATGGAGTTTAATAACACAGTGGAGCATATCCTGTATTAACAAATGACATCACAAGGTGGAACAGTGTGTTTTCAGTATGAGAGAAGAACTCAGCCTTCATATGCAGGGTTCGCGTGTTAAACATGGGTGAACTAAACAACTACAACTCCAGATTGTTTGTGATGAGGAAATATCATGATGACATAGATCAGAAAATAGTGTTATGGACCTTTTAACCTGAATCTGTGTAGAAAGCCCAGACTGTTTCCTCATCTAACACCCCCTGTGCGCTCTTCATTCTGCTCCATCAGAAGTGTTCCAATGAGAGCTTCTGTGGGCAGCAGTGCGTCCCGCTGCGCTATGGCACCACGGCGTGCCTTCCCCGTGGCCACCCACAGCCTCTGCCAGCCCTGTGTCAGACCACATGTCAGCAGCCACACTCTGCCCAGAGGCTACCTGCCACCAGCCAACCACATCTTCAGCCTCGCGCATGACCATAACTCCATCTACCTCCCGCACAACCACAACCATGTGCACAGCCAACCCAGCGGCACACCAGTATGTCACCAGTAGACTGTAGAAGTAGCCATTAGTTATAAAGTGAAATGGACTGTGTAAAAATGTGCAACAAAGTATAGCATTATAATGGTGGATGTTAGTGAGTGAAAATTATATTCCTTAGTTTTTCCAACATTTAGTTTGCTACTATTAAAATATTACAGTATACGCACTAAGTCTAAGTAGTAAAAGGCTAAACTGGCAAACTAGTTCCCCTGAGTCAAAAGTTTATATTATGCTGTAATTTTAAATGGCTGTTTATAGATTTAAGCAGTTCCCAGTGCTGTTAAATTAGTTAACAGAATACAAATTGCAAACTTTTTTGTGTCAATCTTGTAATATGTGTTTACCACCGCAGAATGTGTACAGTAATGCTATGAGGCACATTATTCACTTATTCTGTCATGGTAAACAGAGCTGAGGTAAAACATGTATGTTTAAGGTACTGTATATGGTAGTGTATTTTGTATAGAGTATTTCAATGTGTAGATTATGCATTGTATTTCTCTAGTTGTTGGAATTGACATAAAGATCAGTTATGATTCGGTCCATGTTTTAACACAACCAAATTCCTTGCTGCTAAATTTACTGAAGGCTAGAGTGTGTGAGCTTTCTTTTATTTATGTTGTTGTGCCCCTATTTGCATGAAGACAAGGCCAGACTCATCCACGAGCTAAAGCCCTACATTTGACATGATAATCCAAGAGAAAAAAATATATTATATTTCAAACAGAAAAATACCTTCTGTGCACATGCTTAGACAAGTCATGATGATCTTTGTTCTTGCCTGCATCGCCATGGAAACACCTCCCTCTTTTTACACATGACCGCCCGAGCATCTCCATTGAATTCAACACTAGACATCATGTTAATATGCTGAAAAGACTTGTTCCTGTTCTCTCTTTTTTTCAGACGGATTTCGAGAAAGATGTGGATTTAGCATGTCAAACAGGTGAGTGCACTTTCCACATGTAATTTTGGTTTTAGCTTCAGCTAGCATGGTAATTCGACTTTAATGGCAGCGCATGACTACAGATGATTTGTTAAGACTCCCACCAGTGGAGCACAGATTAGTATGCCTTATTGATCCCACATATTCTGCCAAATAGCAGGCCCATAGGGATGCTGTATTTGGATGAGTTTGTGGTTAATTGTGCATGGTAATAGTCCTACCAAATGTGTTTCAGTAGCTGTTTATGTGTTTCTTGAGTGGGTGTATGAAGGATTTGTTTTTGAAAGATACTAACACAGTCACTTTCCCCTCCACCCTTCCAGAGAGAGGACACCCATGTAAGTTTTTCACTCAACTAACTTAACTCTTAACTCTTGCTTGTTGTCCGCATATATGCCAATGGAGAGCTTATTTCGCAAAGTTAGTAACACAAATGGTATATTGAAACTACAACAGAAGAAAAATAAGAAATCAATATTCATAAAACATAACAAAAAGCATTTACTAAGCATTTCATCTTTATATATGGTCATAAAACACATATATCATTGGCCTCATAGCATAACTGCCTGAATCATTTTTTGACCAAATTGAGTTTCTGTCTCATTCTCCAGACCCTGCTGTATCTGTGGGTGCCATTAGCTCTGTCTTCGGCCAATCAGAACGATATTTAACTGCCTCAGACATCTTACTGACAGCCATTTATTTTGGTATTTTCCCGAAAACTTCAAAAAATGATATATAGGCAATTATGCTATGGGGCTAATGCAATGAAACTGTTATTAATAGTTTACCATGTGCTAGCATTTAGCTGATTTGCTTGATATTGATATCATTTTCAAACTCAAAATGTCTTTGTGAAACTGGCTCTATCACAGTCTGTGCTGTAGCCTCTACTGATTTGACTCTCTGTCTAAAATGTAAATAAGAACAGATGAATTTAGTTAAAAATACAAACAAACAAACTTTCATTTGTTGAGAAATTCTACCAGATTTAACAAAAACAGATTAAACATTTGCGCATTTTCAAAAAACTTCCGTTGACAGGTGCATCATAGCTCTTCTGTTTACATTTTAGACCTTATTTGTTTGCCAAGTTCCTATGCTATTCTCTTCTAAGCCTAAAGCATTGTCTTTTCTTATTGCAAATGCTTAAATCTTACCTCAAATGTGAGAATGTTCTTTTCACTTTAAAATTTTCCCTCTCAGCAAAAGGTTGTATAGCCAGCGTTTGTATTCACTTTTTATTAATGCAGATACGTTTTGTGGTTTTATTATTAATATTTATTTGCCTATTGCTCTGAGACTCTCTAGCCAAATAAAATCCTTCGTCAGCAACAGTACAGACAATGCTCCACGGACTTTCAATATCTTTTGTGGCAGTGTTATATTGATATACAGAGGACTGTGCATATAGCTGGGTTTTCAGACACTGTTTGCCAACATTAATTTTGATTCCTTTTCTTCAAAAATCCATTTATTCAAATCCATTTTCGGAACACTGCTCAACCTTCTATCACCTCATTTCTTTTTCCCTACCCATTCGCTCACTCACCCTCCTACCCCCTCTCCGACCCTCTTCCATCCCTTCCCACCCCCTCCCACCCTCTCTGTACCACCATTTTTTTCCCTTTTTATTTTCTTTCTAGTCATTTTCAAAGAGGTGAACACTTGTAACCCCGCCACCATCACAGGGACCCTCTCGCGCATCTCCCTGGACGACGAGGACGATCCCAAGCTGGCAGCCCATCAGGAGGGCGGAGTAGGGGTCAACTTCAGCGCACTACCTGGCAACATACCTCCTCCCAACCTCATAGTGCAGGTAATACTGTAGTTGTTTCAAAAACTGTTTTACTAAAAAAAAACATATTGACAAGGTTAATACAGTCTTTTCTCTTAAATTGTGCTCACTTTATTTCTCACGTTTATAGCATTTGTACATTTCTGGAGGCAACCCCAGAGTTGATCTGATACACTCCCATAACATGAAGAACAATTGCACCACAGCATCTGTCAAACATCTGCTATAGTGTTTTGGCTGGTGGAGTCTGTTAATTTTTCCGTGGTTTCTGTCTTTTGGATATTGTTCATCTGCTTTGTCCTTCCTCAAAGCATGAATATTCTGTCTTCATTATCCCTATTTAAGTACACAGTCCAGGGCTAATGTAACATGCACTGTTATATTTTAAGAACAGTTCATATGTTGAATGTACCAGACACCATGACTCATCTGTTTGACTCATCTTAACTGCATTGCACTCATTATATTATGTGCTTCTGTTTCGATTGACCTTAATACATTGTTGTGTACCTTTACTTAGTCCCAATACAGGACTGTGTACATTAGATCATTTCTAGCACAAGGTTGTTCTTTTGATCAGTGTTACACAGAGTGGTATATGTGTGTGCTGCAGGTGCCGCCTTTAGGAGGTCTGAACGAGCTGAGTGACACCCCCTTAAAGAAGGAGGTCAATGTGGACCAGCAGAGGCAGGGCCAGCAGCACACTGGAGCTCCTATTTACCTGTGCACCGAGAGTGGCCTGGGCTGGGCTCGCCCGCCCAACTCCTCCAACACATCCCAGGATGGGAGTGCAGGAAGCGGGGGGAGTGCGGGCAGTGCTGCGGGCAGTGGGAGCACAGGTGGTGGAGAGGGGGACTATATGGTGTTACCGCGCAGGACAGTTAGTCTCAAACCTCCTGCATCCTCCTCCCAAGGAGGAGGCCTGGGACTAGGGGGTGAGGACAAGCCCCTGAATATCACAGTGGAGGAGCCGCCTTTCCCCCCACCCCCTTCACCCTTGACCCTTCATCCTGCAGAGAGCGAGGCCTACCCCGCAGACTTTGTACCTTCCAGTGTGGGGGACATGAACATCACCATGAACCTCAACCGCTCCTATGGGCCCATCAAAACTATGGCCCACAACCACGGGCACATGATGGCCCAGGGTGGCCTGGTGCACCCCCACACTGGACACTTGCACCCCCACGGACACTCCCTGCAGCTCAAGCCGGGACAGAGACCATCCGTCAGACAGATCCTCACCAGCGGAAACGCAGTGGAGAGAACCAGGACCCTGCCTCGTAACCTTGGCAGCACCAATGCCAACAGCAACATCTCCGCGGGATCCCTCGAGGTGGGTAGAGGTGGGGGAGGTCAAGGAGGCCTATACTGCTGACTCTGACTCTTAAACGTCCTACATAGTGCAAAGTACATAGAGTTTCGGTTTTTTTTTATATACAGGACAATACATCCACACTAACATTATATCTCATCAGCCCAGAAAAAAACATTTATTCTTTTTTCCATCTCTTAAAAATTCTACTGAAAGTGGGTTAACATACAAACGCAATATGTGATGTATGTTAAGTTCATATACACTGGGGAAGTGCACCACATTAATTTCACCTCCCAATTGCACAGAAACATAATTAGGTCTAGATGCTGTTAAAACTTTGGCCAGTGAATTATACCAGTATTAAGATGAATGCCCGGTGGGCATAGAAAAAACAAGTGGACGGGATGCTATTATTCTCACCTGGGTGGTATTTACTGAGAGGAGTTATTTTCCTAGCGACAGACGGCCTCCTCTTAGGCCTCTGTGTGAGAGAGTGTGGAACAGCCTCTGCTGCCCATACAAGGTGCTACAGCAGATGGAGGGAGACTCTTTGGATCAGAGGAACTACCCCCGCCGGATGCCTTTGAACCCACCTTTATCACGCGTGCACACACTCACATACACACAAACACTCATACACATAGACACACAGACTCAAGGTAATATAGGCTGTGGAGAGGTGGCCCAGTTACATGACTCTTTCTGACTCTTTTTACCTAAAGCCCTTTTCTGCCCCTAGGAGGAATGATGTAGTGTTATAGGTGGAGGTAATCAGAATCACCACAACACAGGGATCAGGGCGCCATATTTAAAGGTCCTATATTACGCAAAAGTGACTCTTTTGCCGATGTTATACTGTTACCTCCTCACCAACAGACCTGGAGTTGTGTTTTGTTTCATTCACACACATTTGAATAACCCTTTATTTTTAGTCTGTCTACTTCTCCAAAGCTAAAAATGCTCTGTTCCACCTTGTGATGTCATGTAGTGGTAGTTTTCAAGTTAGCAACTTCCTTTTACCTTTTGTTCAGTAGAGATGGGCAATTCCAGGTCTTAAATTATCGAAATGATTGTACTGAAGGTGTACAGAGTTTAAAAACACAGTTCCTATATTACCACATGACATCACAAGGTGGAATAGAGTGTTTTCCATTTGAGAGAAGAACACAGCCTAAATATGCAGGGTTGTGTGTTAAATATGGCTGATGAGTACACAACATTATAACATAGAGAATAATACAATATGGGCCCTTTAATTGATACTGAAAGAAGACGTACATATTCATACCTATTTTCCAGTTATGACTGTGTCAGATTTTTGATTAAAGTAATGGTAACAACTTTCTCCAAATTGATATTATAGAAGATGCAGCTGATTGAATAAATAGCATTAAAAGCATCTTCAGATAAGCCTGGAGTGTACTCATAAATACAGAAATCTGCAGCGGGACCAGCGGGATCTAATTTACTCCTATCACTTACACTGTTTGAACATTCTTGATCTGGAAATAGATATCATCACTCCCAAGATTTAATCACTGTCTCCAAGTCAAACGCACAGCAACTCATAATGTAGAATCATACAAGTGTAGCCTTAAGCTCATGTTAATTATTGTGAACTAGAGACCACAAAATATACTACAAAGTACAAATAATAATACAAACCTAGCCAACCTATGATTTCCCATGTTTTCATAACATAAAGCTGTTTTCATATCAAATCTAAAATAGTTACAAATGGAGCCTGGTGCTTCTTAATGTTTATTACGGTAAGTTATAATATTAATGTTAATGTTACAATCATTTTGTAATAGTTGTGGAGAGATTCAGCATTCATATATACATTTTCAAGTCAAATTATTTCTAATCATAAATAACACATTTTTAGCTGTCATTATTCTACCGCAAGCTACTACAACCGCTATTACAACACCTGGACCTCAAAGTTGATGAAACAAAATCAGTACACTATATGTAAAAGCACTTGAAGTACAGTATATTAGAAAATGTACCTCAGAAGTAGCTAATCCTCACATGTACTTGAGTTAGATGATTGAGCCAGTACATTGTGGAGTAATTTGATGCCTGGTTGTCTTACATCTTCCACCTTTTATTTTGTGTAATCATCTGATCCATTTGTGCTGATCAAACATGCCATGAGTCTTACAAGAGGAGTTAATTGTGTTAGCCTCCATAAAAACCATTGCCAATAGAAAGAGCAGGAAGTGGAGACACAGACTCACTTTATCGTGGTGAAACCTTGGCTGCCATTGGCACAGAGCAGCAGCCCCGGCCATTCGCTGAATAAATGCAGCTTTTAACTAAGTGTGGAGAGTCACCGAACTGCGTGCCAGATTTGCATTTGGCCGACAGCAGCAGCAGCGTGACAGGAAGTCAGACACAATACAACACAATGCAGCGTCAGGGACAGATGAGCTGCTAATGTCGGCAGCAGCTACACTAGCAGCTTGTGTGGTTTAGGGGTGGATGCTGCACAGACACTTAAGAGCACAGAGCGGGAGTCCAAACAGCATTACAGGAACATGCTGGAGAGAGTTTGTTGTACTGCTAATCACAATGTTCCAACAGAAGACTTAAAACAGAAAAGTAGATGATTCATGCTGGTGTTTTAATGATTGTATTTGGAAGTATCCGAAGCGAGAAATGATTATTTCATTTTAATTCCGGGTTATTCCACTTGACTAATCTCATTACGCTGAAATAGAGTGAATAATTTGCGTTTTGGTTTTGACATTTGTAGGAATAATATCTTTATCACTGTGAGCAGCCAGTCTATTTGAGCTCTCCTTGGTTTTGGCTGGAGGGTGTGTGGGTTTACACAGTGCAGTAGTGGCTGAGGGCTGGTCATTGATGCTGTCTTCTTTCCTCCTGCCCCTCCTCTTCCAGAGGAAAAGAGTACGGTATTCCGAGCTGGATTTTGAGGTAAGATGTCGGACATTCCCCCTCCATCAGCCTGTCTCTGCTTTCATGTGCTTCTGCCAGGACTTCAATAACACATAGTGGAGCAAAAAAGCATCGCTAAACCCTCCCCCACCCCACCTGCTCTTGCATTTAAATGATTTATATTCACAAAGTTTGCTGTTTTTTCAACTATTTATTATCTCTTATTTATGACAAAAGGTATTACAGTGTATATGTTGTGATGTCCTATAGTAAAGTTGAAGAAACAGCAAAGTATAGTGCTTCTTGTGTCACTAGATTCTGTTCTGGGTTGACGTGTAATTTTGTAATAATTTATATGTGGCAGCAGTTGTTCAGTTTAGTTGTTTAGCTTCACTTATATCTGTTTAAATGGTGTGGAATGGCCCTGTGTGGTTTTGCTATGGGTATTTATTGATGTCACTGTTATAGTTCATCTTAATACAGTACTATTCACAAATGTACTGTGATGGCTTTTGCATGAAACTACCACCAAATATTACACCAATCTTTTAGCCATTGACTGTGTTCCCCCTCCTGCAATATAGTGGAGTATTTAAACACTGCTCCCTTAATACTCTTTTTGGAAAATATGCACAGTAATCAACTTTAAATCTATTTAAAACAAAACTAGACAAACTGGTGGCAGCTGTTGTCCAAATGTATTCTTGACTTTTAATGGATTCCTTGCAATCTAATAATTTTTTCACTTACTAGCATGCTAACAGCGCACCTGGTTCGCCTCAGATTAAAAAAAATATAATAATATATACCTTTAAGAGTTGTGCTTTTACAATATATCTTAACTGGGGCAAGGTAAATTTGACTTTATAACATGAAAAAATCTGGTACAACCCCTATACTTTCAAAATCATGGTCTGTATTTCTGTTATGTGGGAAACTCAAAACTCATTTTCTATCATTTGGAGATAAGAGATGCAAATCTTAAGACACAACACGTGCCCTGGCAATGCTAGTTTATTCTGAGTAATCTCAAAGTGTCTCGTCCAAGGCGTTGAACCCATGCCTTGTCCTCTGCAGGTGAGTGTGAGTGCTGGCATCATTCCCTCTGCCCCTATCACATTACAAGCCTCTTTACTAATTATCTAATGAAGAACCGCTCTAACTGCAACCGTTACTATAGCCCAAACATGGCTCGCTCACTACGTTTACATGCACCAGGGAACAAATCTCCCAGACTGCATAAAGACATTTGGAGAACTCTGTGTGTACTTGTACCCCACTGCAAGTTAGGCAGGCAACTGAACAAGGTAAGAAATTGCCAGGGAAATATTACACATGTGTAAGCAGCGATGTCAAACTACAGTCTCGCATCAGACTTGTGATGTTTCATTGTTTTAGCAGCTTCAATTATTTGTGCTGCCAACCTCAAATAAGTTGTGAGTTGTGCAGTTTTTATACTGTGTGTCTGAAAATCAAGTGTGCAACTTAAATGAGATATTACTTATCTACAGTATGTTTACTAAAGCAATTATATTTATGATAGCCATTTTTATTAGCAGTTATCACTACAAAATTGTATTGCTAATGCTGAATTACTAGATCCCCCCGAATTTTTTTAGTTTCCCGTTTGCACACATGGGGTTCTTAGTGCACTCGGAGTTCTCTGCACATGTAAACATGAATTACAACAATATATTGCTGTCTTTCTCAGTACGCATTCAGACTCTAGAAGAAAAAAAAATCCACAAAATCCAGTCTCAGACCAGAGTTAAACCCTGTCCATCTTTTAGACATGGAACAGATGAGACAGAATCCTGACTTAACAAAACTAACGCATAGCCGAGACCAGTCTGTAACAATGCCATGCCTGTCAATCATTCCAACCACAGTTTTGCACTTAGTCGACTCCGCTGCAGCACTCCTGGTTGCCAAATTCTCAAAGACCAAGCTACATGATGTATGAGCATGAGCCAGCAAATGAGTCCATGTATGCCCCCTCCCTCTAACACCCTCTTCATGGCTGGCTTCACCGCAGTACCTCAACTTGATCCCCACCCATGCCATGCCCCTGGTAGTTAGAACAAAACTACCTTATAGATTTTTATTTTGGTTTCTCTTTGGTTTATTTTTTGCTATCCCTTGCTTTGTTTCCCTTTCAGAAAGTGATGCACACTCGCAAAAGACATTCTGAGCTGTACCATGAGCTCAACCACTCGTCCAAGTTCCACACCATAGACAGGTATAGCAGGGACCCAGCCATGTCCACTTTTAAGGTAAGAATAAATGACTAAAGTGAGGATCAGAAGCACTTAACATTATTGCACCTACTGAAGTTTCCCTCTAAAGTTGGCAATAGGTTAATTAACTAATATTCTGTACCCCAGCATTTGCTTGTGTGTGTTTGTTGCAATTTTCATTTCTGTGGATGTTATATGTTTAAGCCATTCAAACATTATTGCTTTATGTACAGCATACCAAAATGTGTGTCCATGTTTGTGTGTCTTAATGGTTCTTCCAAGATTTTATCGGAAGTTTGAACAAAAGTGAGTGGATTAAAATTCTATCAGGGTTTGAAGTAAAAAATAAAACAATAGTCCTTGAGATGTATATATTATAAAATTCCCCAAAAATTATTTCCAAAAATAATTAATTACAAATTAAGATGTTTTTTCATAGTACTAAGCTGTATACTGTACATTGCAGTTACTTGGGCCAGAGAATTTGCCCCAAGTACCTGCAAATGCCAATCCCAAAGGAACAATACTATACTTAGTAACCCAGAACTTTTTCAGCTATTAAAAACAGTCATCCATAGCCTTATGTACATAGATCCTTCAATATCTTGTCCCTAATGTGAAATAAGCATATTGGGCATATTGAAAAACTAAGTAAAAGTAAAATTTTACTGCTCAAACTAATTGCCCCTGGTGGGATTTATAAAGTGTCTCGAATTTGAATCTGAAAATGTGTTGAAAAAACCTTGTGAAATAGAATAGCTAGTTACCATTACCAACTAAACTATGAGCCACAATGAAAAAACAAAATCCTGGAAAACTGTTTACATCCCACACATCTGTCAGTGTCTCTAAACGTCTGATTTCAAAGCTTGTATGTGTTTGTATGTGCGACTGAGTACCTTTTTTTTTTTATTAATGATCCATCATCCGCAGAACAGGCTTGTTGACCTTCAGCCACATGGAAAAACTCACATTTACTTTTCTCTTCATCTGTGGAGCTTAGCGAATGTGGCAGCCATGATGGTTTGTGCGGCCTTGATAGCGGTTCTTTCCATGGCATCAGCAGCGTGCAGTTTCACGTGTAATTCTGATCGCCGGGTGGAGAGGCAGACTGAGAGGCGGATCGAATATCTCTCATGTTCCCCCAATCCATTCACTTGCCAATACGCTGCCATCTCCCAAGCCTGAGCAGACTCTGATCTAAATTATTTTTATTTTCCAAAGGTTTTAATCAGACAAGAAAATATTACATAGAGCCCAGGAAATGAGCAGGGCTATTATTTGAGTCCGTTGAAAGCATATACTTAAAAAGAACTGATGTATTTTGTGAGAAATGGTTAGACACCTCATGAGTCTGTAAGTACTATTTGCGTAATCTGTTTCAAATTGAAAGGCATTTGCATTATACATGTTCTAAGCGAAAGTGAAGGTTGAAAAATACATATATTTATTTATATTTCTCATGATGATTGACTAAGTGTTGGTCAAGATTTATACAAGATGTCCTCCCATAATCTTCTCTAGTCATTCAGGAAGACTTTTAATATCAATATAACAGGAGTGTAATGATATCCAAGTTTTACGATACAATAGCATCACGGTATGAACCTTACGGTACGATATTTATTGCGATGGGAAAGTTCACGATATGGCGGGGTGGCTCACAATTAGGGATGTAACAATATCCAACTCTCTCGGTACAATATTTTCACAATATACATCTATATATACATCATACATGACAAAAATGTTAATATGATACTTTTCTTCTTAAAATGCCTTGACAAGACTTAACGAAAGAACAAAGTGCTTAGAACTGTTATTTCTTCTTGTAGTCTTCACTGAAATGGAGCAAAGGATCATGGTCTATGTAGTTCCAATTTTTTTAGCTACTGCTGTACCATAACTCTTAATTTAAGCAAAAATATTTGTAATTCAATATATTGTGAGGGTCCACGATATTATTGTGAGACCTTTGACGATACAATATCACAATATTTAGGTTATTGTTACATCCCCACAATATAAGCTTGCTTAGAAACTGATTTGTGATTTGTCAGATACCCATACTGCTGGAACCACCCATTCAACATAATGTGATTGTAACTGGCCCTGCATTTGCAATGTAATTTCAAAATTACAAATTACAGTTATCCTCTTACTCCTCACACACACCATGACATTATTGCATATTCATCACAGTTATGCCAGATCTGAAATTGTAGTATTCCAGATTTGTAAAGGAACTACCTCTATAAGTTTCAATTTTACTGAAAATCATGTAAAATCACAACAAATTAAACAAATAAAGACAAGTCGTATTTCCCAAGCTTCACTCACGGGGCACATCCAAAGTCATTGTTTTGGATACGAGTAGGCGGCTCACTTAGCTGTGAATAATGGCGGGGATAATGCTCTCAGTGTCAGGCCTTTGACAGAAACCGGTTGAAGTTCAAGTCGGTTCTTGTCAACATGTCTGGAGTCACCCTCACAGACGAGCTGCTGCTGCTGCTGACTCCACACTCATTATGGAGATGAGACGCCTGTATTTGCTCAGCACTGCCAGCAATCACAGCCCAAATGTGTTTGTCTGCGTGTTCCTCTGAGAGCGTTTGTGCGGGTTATGTTTGAATGTCACACACTACATCACGCCTTTAAGTCCACAACGTGCGCAAGGGACCAGAACTGCACCAGTAATGGCATAATCGTTTCATAATTACTCAATTAATGTGTTCCATGCCATATGACAGACACTGACAGGGAGCTCAACACCGGCTTTGATTTATAATAGAACTTAATTTCAGGAGTGAGTGACGTTTAATGGAGAGTTAACAATGCAGGGGAATTCACACCGTACTTTTTATCTTCCTATCAACCTCAGGAGTTTATTTCAATGGGAGATTCTGCAAATAGATCATCTCTAGCAATGAAACTATAACAACTGATTATAAAATATATTTTAAACTCATAATAAGTACACTTTATTCATTCTATAAATTTGATCTCTTGGGCTTAACATTATGACTTCTTACTGGTGATTTCATGTAATAGTTAAGTGGATTTATGCAGCAAACTCTCTCCAAACTTGATGTGACAGAATAAAGAAAATTGGCAAATAGGGCCAGAGAATCTCAAAAACTGCAACTCATTTTTCAGTATCTACTGAAAGTGACCCAAGAGCCAACTGAATTGAATTGAGCTTTTAGCCATGCTGTAATTCTGTTGCCTCCTCAAAAACATAGTCAGAGTTGTGTTTTGTTTCATTCGTGTTTGAGTAATCTTTTGTCTCCAAAGCTCAAAATGCTCTGTTGAACCTTGTGATGTCATGAAGTGGTAGTTTTCAAGTTAACGTAATAGCTACCTTTTACCTTTTGCTTAGCAGAAATTAAAAACAATGTGGGACAATTTCTGTATTACCACATGACATCACAAGGCAGAACAGAGCATTTTGAGTTTTGGAGAGGTAAATAGACTAATAATAAAGAGTTACTCAAACATGTGATGGAAACAAAACACAACTCCGGGTATGTTTTTGAGGAGGAAAGAACATTATAACATAAATCAGAAAATAGTGTGATATGGCACCTTTGACAGGTGCTTCATGTGGTCCTATGTGCCTGTGGGTGTATACAGCTCATTAACATGCTTAGGAACTTGTAACATATTTGTAACATGTTTTATGACTATCAGACAACTTTCTCAAATCTTAAACCCCTCATAACTCCTTCTAACCAGAGTTAAACTTGCAGGTCCCCCCTCCCCCTCCTCCGAGGCACAACATCGAGCCATCACTAACGCGCAGAACGTCTCTTGTTTACAAAGAGAGTCAACGTAAGACAACAAAATCTGTCAAGTCATGAAACATTACATAAATAGTCCCTAGTGGTGTAGTGGAGTATTGCTTAGATGTTCATTGTGCTTGAGCTAGTTCCTCATTCATCCATCAGCATCTGTACCGTAGCCACATTCTGGGTTTTAGTGACTGGAACCTCCATAATATGGTTTCAATGCTGCAATGCGGTTATTTTTTTCAGAAGCACAAAATTAAACTTTATTTGACTTTTGGGATGTATTTTACAACAGTAGCAACCATGTGTGGGGTGACTGTCCAAACCACAGTCCATTTTAGTGCTGGAATTAAACCTTATGACCTAAATGCCACAACTGGAACTAAATCAATTCATAAAAACAATGCCCTGAACACTTCATAAACTTTTAAATGTGTAATAAACTACTGGCACTAAAAAGGACAAACATAGTAAATGTGTTTTTTGGGGGGTCTACTTTTTTCACTGGTCTAAAAATACGGTCGATGTTTAATATATATTGTATTGTGTACACAGAGTGGATATCAGAATTATTATCAAGTCTTTTCAGTATTTTCGAGTTATGTTTCATTTGCCTTTCTATTCCTCATGTACAGTATGCACTTATACTTATTCGTGGCTTTCATATTCCTTTTCTGAATGATGAAAAATTAGGATTGTTACCATAGCAATTAATAATTTAAAAACACATTCTTTCTCATTCTTTTGCATGACAAAGAATCCTCAAGTGCCTCATATAAAAGCTGAAACTCATGAATAGCTACCATTTTGAGTACTTTTAATCATTCATAATAACAAACATTTTTTCTTGCGTCGCACAAAAAAACACAAATAGCTCAGAAGCTGGACAGTTTTGCAAAACAACAGGAGCAGGAGGAGCCAAGTCAATGTGTTTACAATCAAGTTGAGAAATGTGTTTACCTTAGTTCAATTAGAGACAGTTTTCTGCTCGCAAACTACAGCTTCTTGATTGTGTCTACAGATTAGTGTGATTAAGGTCTGAAATGTGGATTTACACAATTAATTACAGAATGCCTAGCTTAATTTTTGGTTGTTTGGTCCCTTCTGCTGCAAATATATAAAGAATAAACTGGAGTTCTGTTGTGTATATTGCGTGTTTGTATTTGTGAGATGGACGAAATATGTAAATGTTCTACTGAATGTCTGCATCATTTTGAAAGATGGTAGATTAGTACTGAAATAAATAGA